TATGATGACCTTGCTGAACTAAATGAACCTTGGAACATCTTATTTATCTTCCTTGCAGAGTTTTTTTTTTCAAATCAATTGATGATCTCGTTTTCAAATGTTTTATGAAAGCAAACTTTTCAGGTTCCTGATATGAATCATAACAAAAAATAAACTCAGTAATAGATGACAAAGAAAAACGAAGGTGGAAAGGAGAGAAAAATTACACTCTAAAAGCAAAAAAAAAAAAAAAGTCTTTCGCACATACATGTACATCTTGCTTGCGTGTCCCCTGCGCCGTTATCTTAAGACTCGGATCGATCCCGAATTCAACGTTCATTCTGTACCCATTAACGCTAATTGACGTTTTCTTAATACAGATTATTAATTGATACAGTGATTTATTAATACTTTACGATTTCTTTCCGAACCAATTTGCAGAATCAAAAGAAATCTCGTGTGCCCATCTAAACATTTTTCTTTGCGTTTATGGTTTTCGTAAAATGAAGAATCATGGCTTGAATTTATAAAAAGAATAAGGAATAAACTTTTCTTTTTGGGTGTTTCATGAGATGATAATCGACCTAAGAACATTAAGCATGTAAAAAGTTTTACATACTAGTAAGCAATGGTTTTATGCAAGAATTATCACTTGCTTTGAGGGGTTTATTACCCTTTAATAAACAATAAAAATAACACCTGCTCCTACCATTTTACCAAAATAAGTATATAAGATTTACTATGGGATAAAATTTATCCATTTACCATCATTTTTCATTCCTGTCAATTTGACAACATCCGAATACTTTTTTATTCTTGTAATACAAAAGGGAAGTTGCAACTTTCTGGTCAGTTTCTCGTAAGTTTTGCAGACCCTCCAGATTCAAATAAAATGACTTTCTGTAGTTATCATAATGAAATTAAGGTCTAAGAAATTAAGGTAACGATACGTTCCTAGTTTATCTGATTTTTGGATCTCTTCGCAATATACTAAAAATATTTCTCATTATTATTATCTTCTGAATTCGAAACTTTTTAAAAATGTCTGACAATATATATATGCCAAACAATTGTTAAATCAGCAAATAAAGATATGTCCAGTGGTATTACATCAAAATTATATCATCTGGAATCTTGGGCAAATGTTTGGTAATGTACTTCATTTTTGTGAGGTAAGTTCTTAAAGTACATGTAAAATTTGTCCTTCAAAATCTTCACGGATAAAGAGAGTAACAGTAAAGCAGTAAAAAACAGAAAAGAAAAACATCTCTTGTGAATCTACGTAAGTCAGCTAATGCATTGAGGTATAATTACATAGATGGATGGCTTTAAGAGAGGTGTTTTGCCTTGCTTTGGTCTTCATATACCACGAGTACCTCTATTCTTTTTATAGAATATATAATTTGGAAATAAAGTGTTTTCTAACTGTAGAGGAAATTGACATCGCTTTATTTTGTTTCTTTAGATACTAATATATTTTTCGATCATACAAAAGACTTTGGGTGTCTTTTAAAGTCAGGTTTTAGATTTTCTCAAACTGAAGAGGTCATCGGATGTTACTTTAATTTGCAAGGCTTCAACTGTAGAGGACAATGAATGCCACTTTTAATATACATTTGAAATGTTTCATGACTATACAGAAAACACCGGATGCCAAAAGTTACAATAAAAGTCACATACCTAGATTGACTTTCTAACTGATAAAAATTTTAAAGTTACCGTCTTTTTTCGTACGTGTTACTTATATTTCTGGGAAAGATTTCTGATAAAAATTCAGACATGTTAGTGTGTAACATAGATTATATCAGAGATGTAGTTCAATCCTCCTTCCTCATAAATGTCTGACCTATGTAAAGTGCATCTCGTTACTTCGTGTTGAACTTATTCCGCGTGCTCAATATTTTTTTTCAACAGGGAAGCACTTGCGGTTTTTCTCACACGTTTCTTAATTTATCTATATTGATCATTATTAACCTTGATAAGTGATTGTAGAACTTGTGCATGGTCTACAATTATGCTTCATGATTATACTAAGAAGTAAAAACAATGAAATGTGTTAGGGTTTTATCATTATACTTTGAATGTATTTGTAAAGGATATTTAAGGAGGAGGGAGATGAGCGAAGAAATTTATAATATCTCCCTGTTGTACCACTGCATCGTTTAAAAAAGACTGCTCACAGAGTAAAGTATGTATTGTCAAATCAAGTTCATCTAGAGAATGAAAATTTGGGAAACAGAAACGATAGCTGAAGAGGTAAACAAGGAAAGTGTCAATGAATGCTTATACTGATGTAATAATAAAGTCCAGGGTTATACTACACTAACCCGGTTAAAATCAGAGAAATGGGTGGGTGGTGAGACTTTGCTACTTTTTTTTTTATTATTTTCCTCCAAAACTGCTTTTGGTAAACTTAGAAGCATTTAGCATTTGGTAAACTATGGGCATTACGCGCCATCTTCCGAGTTAGTGTTTCAGTGATTCTGGTAAAGTCAGAGACACTGAGCGGCATTTACCCAGGAAAAGAATTTTTGTAAAGTCAGCAGCATTGGGCGACATTTCTTCGGGAGAATGTTTCTGGAGAAGTCAGAGGCATTTAGAACATTTTTCATAGAAAGAGCTTCTTGTAAAGTAGCGGCATTGAGCTACGTTTTTGTCAAGACTTTCTTCTGATGACGTCTGCACCTTTGAGCGACATTTCTCCAAGGCACTTCAACTGTTAAAGTCTGCTGCATTGAGCAACCTTTCTCTCCTAGACAAATGTCGCCAGGGTTATACTACTCTAACCCGGTTCATGTAAGGTCATGAAAATCAGAGAAATTGGTGGGTTGGTGAGACTTTGCTACTTTTTTATTATTTTCCTCCAAAACTGCTTTTGGTAAACTTAGAAGCATATAGCATCTGGTAAACTTAGGGCATTACGCGCCATCTTCCAAGACAGTGTTTCAGTGCTTAGTGTTAGAGACACTGAGCGGCATTTACCCAGGCACTTCAACTGTTAAAGTCAGTTGCATTGAGCAACCTTTCTCTCCTAGACAAATGTCGCAAAGTTCTCCAGGAGCACTGTGCAGGATAAATGTCGCTCAATACCGTTGACTTCACCAGATCACCGTGTTGGATAAATACTTCCAATGCCGCTGACGTTATCAAAAACTCTCTCTCTCTCTCTCTTTCTCTCTCTCTCTGATTAATATTGTATTGCCTAATGCTGCTGACTTCAAACAAAAGCGTTGACTTTTGAGAAACGTTTCTGTCTTCAATAACCGCCATCCAATGCTGCTGACTTTACCAGAAGCAATGCCTTCGAAAAATGCACACAATGTCGCTAATTTTATCGAAAGCACTCACTTGAACCAATTTCGCTCAATGTTGTTGTCTTTACAATAAGCATTGTCTGGATAAATGTCGCTCAGTGGCGTTGCCTTTATGAGAAGCACTCTCTTCGACAAATATCACTGAATTGACCAGAATTACTATCCTACACAAATTCTGCTAAATGCTCCTGATCTCTTTTAAAGAGAAGTCGTTTAATGTTGCTGGATCATCAAAAGCACTCTCTTGGACAATTAATGCTTCTGACTCAAATGACACACTAAGAAGTACCGCCATTCAAAAAGTGTCACTTACTGCTACTGTTTTACCTGAAAAAGACTTTTCAATAAATGCTTCTGATTTTTTAGAAGCTTTGCTTTGAGCGCTGTTTGTGATACATTTCCTTGGATTCTTGCAAGAAGGAAGAGCATACCGTCTTCACGATTTCGCATCTAGTGTGACCACTGAACTATATCTTTATGTCCTTATTTTGTTCTTGTTACTTCAGATGGCATGGCTAATAGATTTATTGATTAAGACGGGGGATAGAGGCCATAGTGGGGGAGACAATAAAATCATGAATATTTATAGTTTTATGGTGTATATCGGCAAATGTTGCCAGTTATAAACAAGTAGGGTTATAGTTACTGTGATGGAAATATATACAAATATATACAGATATTTCCATTTCTAATTGTTTTCTCTGTGATAACTCTTTGAAAGTTAGGTGAGTTGATATCTTGATAATTCAACCGGAATGTTAATTTCGCCAGGTGAAAGGTCAGGAGCCTTATATGCATGTCAATCTCGTGCGGCTGTGTTTGTGTCTGACGTCAGTGGGCGACGCAGGGACTGTTAACATATGAGGCCTCGTGTATTTAAAATCTAATAGCATTTTTTTAAATTTATATTTACAATTTTATTTCACATATAAATGTAAATATAAGGAAATGGGTATTCCAGGTACATCAACGATAGTTGGAAACCTGGGATAATTTTTGCATAACGGGTTTTGCCCGTTATACAAATTATCCCACGTTTCCAACTTTCGTTGACGCCCTGGCATACCCAACAAACTAGACAGTGATTCCTTAAATAAGAAAAAATCTTGTATGTGTGTGTGAAGATAACAATTTGATCTGTAAGCATGCTTGGACGCTGATGCGAATTATCACGTGCAACGGGTCTGTTTTCACCTCCAATACACCAAACAAAAAAGACATCCATTAAATAAATAATGTGAAATGCACTTAAATTCATTTTGGGAATCATATTATGAACATGATCGAGAAAATTGTAGATGTATCAAAACATGTCATTAGATATAAAGATATACGAAATACATGTATATGTAAATTATATGTAAAATATGGGGGGTAGTGTTATCTTTGATAGTGCATATTTCCTTTTTCTTAAACTGTTTTTAAAGACATATAATTTTGCTTTTAAGAAGAGGAAGAACTGAATTTTAAATCAATCTTTTAAAAAAAAATTAAATATTGAACTTGATACCGTACATGTATTTGTGAATTGTGTATGCATATGTGATTTTTATTTTTAATTTACTGTTCGGTCAGTATTCTTTTGACATAAAATAACCCTTCATTGTTACGTAATTTGTTAATCTGTTGAAATCCTATTAAAATGCATATTTAAATTTTTGCATCAATTCAATATCGAAAAACAAATCATGGAACTATATTTTTCAGCTAAGACACAGTCGTTCTGCGGGTTTGAAAATGACATGTGTGGTTTTACACAAGAAGAGATTACAGACGATTTTGATTGGGTTAGAACAAAAGGAGAAACTCCCTCCACGGGCACCGGTCCTCTAGGGGACCACACCTGTGGTGAGGTCAAAGATGCAGGTAAATGATTTATTTTTAAAAATTCATATTTTTGTCATAACCCAAAACGTTCTTCATTAATATCGATAAAATAAAAAAATGAACTGAAAACCATTTTTCACTGTTAATGTATGACATGTAAGCAACCCCCATTTGTTTACCGAAATACAGTATTTAAGTTCTACTGCCCTGACGACTTCTTTGTGATATATTGCCACTGTCGATTACCAGTGAGTCGTAAATTCAATTAGATTTCCAATTAAATAAATATCTCTGCTACATTTCAATCCCAAGAGCTCACGTCATGATATAAATTAAGTTTATAAATATTGCGTTCACATGCAACTTTGATAGCTGGTGTTACTTAAGAATCTGTAGAATGATAAACTACTTCAAATTTATTCACAAAAACTCTTTGTAAATCTTTAAGAAAGCTAGAATATCCGGATTTTAATCAGTTTCAACCGGCACAGTGCCTGAAGTATCCATAATACCTTTAAATAAACAATGAAAAGATTAATTTTAAATAATAATAGTCTTTTATAATTCTAAATAAGAAATCAATGCAACGTTTATATACTGCTGTATATATGGCTTTTGTTTGGAACTAGAAATATCTCTGGATGTTTTTTTTTTATAAGTGTATTTAACATTTAGAAAACAGCCTTTTATTATTCATGTTACACTTTTCTTTTATCTTATAATGTTTACATCTACTGAATATTTTCTTCTTTATTTCTTATGAATATTTTGCTGCTGTCAATTGCAGCCAATAACAATGACGAGGGTTGTATATATTTTGTCATATACCGCATAAAACCATAGGCACTTCCAAGCTAAATCGGTAAAATAAAAATGTCTGGATTCCAAAACTTTATTTAAACAAGAGGCCAACGGGCCTTATAGGTCACCTGAGTATCATGCAACAACTTCGCCACAATGGATTCATGTTTTAAACCAGAGGCCATGAAATTCACAATTTCGAAAGAGGCACACTTGCTGATCATAATTTTATATTTAGTGAGCTTACTTAATACCCAGAAAGAGAGCAGAGGATTATCAAAGAATTAATGCATTTTCACTATGTAATCATTAGAGCCTGCCCTAACACCAGAACCATGATGCAGGGGCCATAAAATTCACAATTTTGGAAGAGGCATCCTTACATATCATATCAATACTCTTAGTTCATCGGCTTATTACCCAGGGAAAAGGAGAAGATTGTCAAAGAATTATTGCATTTTTACTATGTAATCATTAGAGCCCCGCCCTAAAACCAGAACCCCTGACCAGGGGGCCATGAAATTCACAATATAGGAATAGGCACCCTTATTCATCATAACTATGCCTTCAGTTTGTTTGCCCTGGATCAGAGAAGATTTTTAAAAGAAATAATGCATTTTCACTATACATGTATATTCAACAGAACACTGCCCTAACACCAGAACCCCTGACCCAGGGGCCATGAAATTCACAATTTTGGAAGAGGCACCTTTCATCATCATAACTATGTATTTATTTTGTTTTCATAATATCCAAGAGCACGGAAGAAGCTTTTTAAAGAAATAATGCATTATCACTATATATTCAACAGAGCCCCACCCTAACACCAGAACCCCTGACCCTTGGGCCATGAAATTCACAATTTTGGAAGAGGCACTCTTTCTCATCTTAACTATGTACTTAGTTCATCGGCTTAATACCCAGGAGCAGAGGAAAAGATTTTTGAATAATTAATGCATTTTCACTATATAATCATTAGATACCCGCCCTAACACCAGAACCCCTGACCCAGGGGCCATGAAATTCACAATTTTAGAAGAGACACCTTTCCTCATCATGACTATGCATATTGTTTGTTTCCTAAATACCCAAGAGCAGAGGAGAAGATTTTTTAAGAATAATGCTTTTCACTACATATTCAACAGAGCCCCACCCTAGCACCAGAACCCCTGACCCTGGGGCCATAAATTTCACAATTTAGGTAGAGGGCTCAATGCTTATTACATTCATGCCAACAGTTTGCCTGCTTGATGCCCAGGAGTAAAGAAGAAGATTTTTAAAGATTGCATTAATTCTGATGGTTTTAGCCCCACCCCTCAGGCCCCAGGGGGGTAGGGGTCATGAATTTCACAATTTTTAACCCCCCCCCCCTTCACATATAGATGCTATGTGCCAAATTTGGTTGAAATTGGTTCAGTGGTTCCAGGGAAGAAGCTGAAAATGTTCAAATGTTAACGCACGACGGACGACGCACGCCGACGGACGAAAACAGATAGCAATAAGTCACCTGAGTAAACTCAGGTGACCTAAAAATCCTTACAAAGATATATTGCAGGCTACAGTAAATGTTCAACTAAGCCCTTATCCTTACTCCTTACCAAACTATTAAGTGCTGTGAAGGAGAAACTTTATATACGTATTGTGAAGCTACATATTCAAGAAGTGGTATTAATTAAATATGGATTCTAAAAAAGAACTCCAAAAAGAACTTTTGGACAAATTAAAATTAATCACAAAACTTTTCAAACATCAGTAGCAGCAAAATATACGACTTTTCTATACTTTATCCAACCATTTTAAATTTAAGATCAAGCTTTTGACATGAATAACGTCATAGACAACTGCTTCTTCAATAAAAATGAAACTAGCAAATTTTAAAATCTTGTGATAAAATTTTATAATTTGCGAAATACAGTCTTTCATGAGACCCTAAATATACAACAAGGACTTAAAACAGATCTTCAGCAGATATGTACTAAGTTAAAGAGATAGAAATAAGTTATGCGGACGCAGTTAATGCTATTATATTTACATTTCCAAATATTCTTCTTAAAGATTCCTTGCAAATTAGAAAAAGTTCATGTTCTTATGAACTACCGTGGGATGAGTTAGAATATTTCCAATGTGATACGATTGAAATCAAAAAATAGTGCAAACTTTTTTTTTCAAAAATGAGCATTGAATGACAAAAATATGTGGCAAGTCATCAGAAAAATAATGTAAATATAAGATATTAATTTATTTTTCTAGAATTCATGAGGTACATGAACTACAACGCTTCACGCCTGCATATTCATCACGAAGCACTAACGCGCTTCATGAAATATGCGTCGTAGTTCATGTCCTCATGAATTCTCAAAAATTAAAGTCATCTCTTATATTAAGCAAGAAGACAATTTGGATAAACTTTTAACCAAACACCAGCTTTTATCTGAAAAATTAAATTACAATACCGCTGCAGATAAGTAACCATTTCAACGCTGCAACAACAAGTACAAACTCTACGGATTGAAAACTCTTCTCTCAAACAATCAGTAGATTCGATTAATGCTAGCGTTTAAGAAGAATGGAGAGAAAAAAGGTCAAACTTAAAGAGAGGGACAACACTATTCTGACCTTGAAAATCGAAACTAAGCAGCTTTTGAAAAAACCAATACTTTTATGTGAAACGAATTCATGAATTTGAAAATGAATTTTATAATCTTTCAAGTGAAATCCAAAATTACGACAAAATTTGGATCTAAAAAATAGTCACTTCTGAAATAAAATCAGTTCAAATGGACACAGACATCAAGTGACGAGGCTGTGTTTTACTTGAGCAAGGGGATATTGTCACAGATGAAAATTTACCCGGATTCTCCACCACTTATCACACCCCGGTAGATATGTGTACTATATGCAAGACCCTGGCGTGGACTATTGGTAATGAGATAAAACGTCTTAGATTTGCAAACCTTTATTTTTCCCTGAGTTGTATTCGGGACGATGTCCCTGATTCTGTCCGATCCAGCAAATCATAAGGCGTTTTATCTCATCACCAATAGTCCACTCCAGTGTCTTGCAAATAAGCACACGCATCTTCCATGGTGTCATATATGCACTTCTACAGTGACATTATTGTGTTTGTTAGTACATGTGTACCTGTTGTGTATTTACAGGACATTTCCTGTTTATTGAGGCCTCAGGTAGGCTAAACAATAACAAGGCAGTGATATACTCCCCGTTTTACCAAAGCCTGGGCCACTTGTGTGTGGGGTTCTACTACCATATGTTTGGTCGCCAGACAGGGACACTTAATGTATACACAAAGGTAAGGTAATCAGACGGACAGGGACAGACAGACAGACAGACATCTAGACAGACAGCTAGACAGACAGACAGCTAGACAGAGAGACAGACAGGGAGACTTAATGTATACACAAAGGTAAGGTAATCAGACAGACAGGGACAGACAGACAGAAAGACATCTAGACAGACAGACAGCTAGACAGAGAGACAGACAGGGAGACTTAATGTATACACAAAGGTAAGATAATCATACAGACAGAGACATTTAGACAGCTAGACAGACGGATAGACAGACAGGGAGACTTAATGTATACATGTACACAAAGGTAAGGTAATCAGACGGACAGGGACAGACAGACAGAAAGACATCTAGACAGACAGACAGCTAGACAGAGAGACAGACAGGGAGACTTAATGTATACACAAAGGTAAGATAATCAGACGGACAGGAATAGACAGACAAAAAGACATTTAGACAGATAGACAGGGAGACTTAATGTATACAAAAAAGTAAGATCTTGAATACTGTTCGTTACCTCCATATACTTCATTTAAAGTTTGCAAATCCTTTACTAAGTTTACTGGCCCGTGAAGAAATGTTTGTGTTTTTGTTGATATATAGAATTCTCATTTGTAAACTATAATTAAAATTTGTAAATCATAGTATCAGGTAATAGATTATGTTTTGATTTGGAAAGTATAGTTTTTGTTAGTAAACTACAGCTAAGATAAAAAAAAAAACGAAGATAACAAACAGTGATCGATCTCAAAAATCTGCAAACAATACAAATCTGTAAAAAGGGCATAAAACACGAACCCCGGAAATTCAAGTGGTAGGAGCAGGTGCCTGAATGAGTAAGCATCCCCTGTTGTCTGGTCACACCAGTCGTGAGGCCTTTGTATATAACAGGAAGACTGAACTTTCCATAGTCGAATTTAGTATAAAAATAAAGGCCTAACAATTGGTATGAAACACGTCAGCTAAAATATGCCCCAGTGATAAATTATGTTTGTTGACAATAGACCATAGAATTTAAAAATGTAGACTTTAATCAAGGTTAGTGAAATCCCTGTAACATCAACTTATCAGTCAGTAGCCGATTTAAAAATTGATCGTACTCAGAGCATGCTCTTGAGTTGGGAGATGAAAACACCATATGCAGGTGATAGCGGAATGTTACTGCATAAATAAAGATGGAAAAGCTGAAGTCATCTCGTTTGTCATACAATTTTGTTGTTAGTTGGCCCTTATCGTCTATAGTCGGTAAAACGTAATTTATACCAATAAAATGTATTTAACTGAGATACACTATAATTTACGGTCGTTAACTATAGGTTTGAGAGATAAACTATAATAGCTGCAAAATCAAATCTAATCATGCTGTTAAGAGGGTTCCACGTAACTAGGATTACTATAGTTTTCATTGTAAACTATGTAGTTTACAATAATGATATATATTTTCACAGAAATTTGTGAAAATTGGTACAAATTCAGATTATGTCGATAAACTCTGGGTTTTTTTCAAATTTATAACAGTACTAAATGTTTATCAATATTTTATTAATTCATCGCTTTGCGTAGTAAGAAACTAGACTTAGAATTAGTTTGTAAACTATATATAATTCACATCCGTTAAGTGTAGTATGGAGTTGCTAGCCGTAGTTTACTATAACCGTGAATCTGTACTTTTCAGGTACTAGTAAACCTTGTTTTGCACATACTGTATATAGAAAGGTTGATCCAAAATTAATCTCACAACTACTATAAAATCTTTAATAATCAAAGTTTTCAACAAAACTTTATATACTTATACCACTATCTATTTTGATTTTTCAATTTTAGATTTCATTCAGATTTATGCCATACTTTATAAAATATTAAAATAAACACTTCATTGGGTCTCGTCTATCGCCGCACGGCAAGACTGTACCGAATGTACCAAATCCTAGCGTTGTTTTTATCTTAATATTTTAAAAATTGTTTTATATTATCGAATGAAACTTTAAAGCAAAAAATCAAAATAAGATAGAGGTATGAGTATGTCAAATTTTGTTGATAATATTTGATTCTTAAATATTTATAGCAGTTGTGACATTACTTTGGATCAACCCTCTTAGTCGTTTTCACTGTTAAGTATAACTTACAATTGTGAAACAAAGATTGAGGCGTAAACTATAATTAAGAAATGTTTAACTACAATTAGGCTTCGTAAACTATGATTGTTATAAAGATTGAGACACTTATTTTATCGACTGTAAAACTATGTGTTTAGCTTATTTATGTAAATTTGGCGAGCCAAAGACTAGGAAAACAAGGTCAGTTACTAAACTTGTCGATTTTATTTAAAAGAGGACAATAGGACATAAATTACTACATGTTAAAGCTGAACACGACTCGGAAATAGGCATAAGCCATATTAGCTTTCTTATCTCCTATATCAGCACTGGGGTATATTCTTCGAATTCGTTACACCTGAGTGCTTTCTTGTCACGGGTACCTGCGTGGAATGGACGAAACGTGTTCGTGTTGGCTATCATACACTAAATTTGTTTACATTTTATTGCAATATTGTTTGTACTGCACAGACATGTGCAACTGATACAGTGTAAGTTTCTTTGGTAAGTTTCTCTTCTGTCTTGGAAGAAGCACACAGTTACTTTTGTCGCTACTGAAACTTTTACAATAGCTTTATGTCATGTACGTCCATCCACATCGGTGAAAACTGATTATACTGAACCGTAACCAAGTGAACAGCTTACATGTATATATGGGCCGTACATATAACGCAAAATACAGAGTAATATGGCGGACAAACATAGATCTCTGCCTTTTACGAATCGTGTTCAGCTTTAATATTTTTCAGTTATACGTGTAGAGACATGTCCAATATTTTGAATTTCACTATTTATATCTTTTTTTTTCACTCTATTCTTCCACTTCAGCCTTGTTTCTGACCGATTTTAAGAAATCTGGTCAATATAATTATTCTGTTCGTATTCAATAAAAACAATATTAGACGTCTGGAATTGATGTCAGAACAAAGCAAAACCAAAACAAATCTTTAAAACTAAAAACAATTGACAGAGAGAAAGATTACAGTCCTCCTGGTGGAAGTTGTAATTAACTACGTCATCCAGTTTGGATGGTTATTGGCTTCTGTCAATCAAAAATTCACATCTGAAAGCCTGTAGCAAGCTTGTATAAAAATCATTCTTACAACCAGACAGGAGTTTTTGCATCAAGAAGTTTAGAAAAATTCGGTTAATAAACTGAATGGCATGGGAAAAACGTTTTTTGTATACATGACATTTTTAAATTTGTCATTATAGACGCGTACCGGTGACGTCATTGAATCTGCGTGGAGAGCTTATGGTAACCAAGGGAATGTGTGGATTCAAGCCCTTCTAGACATACCCAAGAATTTGGCTAGAGCAGGATTTCAGGTACGGATCGGTAAAGCATGAAAGAGTTTTGATGTCTTGATCAAAAAGCATATTAGAAAATCAAATAACCCACAAAACCTTTTAATTGAATAGGCTAAGACCTTGACCTTGAATTTTTCTCCGTCATCTGTAAAGTCACCAAGTGCAAGAGACATTTGACAGTATATTAAAATATTCATTATAATTATGCAATATTTTTAAATCTACAATGTACTTGTTGCATTGTAGCTATGTAATAACATTTATGTATACGTACACGTTCATGTACGAAACGTGTTTGTTTTCGATCTTCATCATCTTATCATTAAATTTAATGCTTCTTTCATTGCTAGCTGGTGTTTGAAGCGATAGCGACTGGTGGTTACCTCGGAGACATATCTATAGATGATATTTCTATAAAGGACGGAAAGTGTAATTCTCGCACCGTCACGCCTGTCTCCGTCACTTCTAATGTGACACAAGCACGGAACGCACAGATTCGAAGACTCCAGAAATTCAGAAAGTTTCGAAGAATGCTTCGGCGCCGTAGAAACCTCTGAAGAACTATTGGCATGTTTTAATTATGTATAACTATGTTAGATGTATTTTGTTGATTTTTATTGAACTCGAGTGACTTACTCTGCATGTACTTATTTAAGCGGGATTCATATTTAGTCTCTTGCTTAATTCTCTGTACAAAAAGTGTCGAAAATCATTTTCTCTATATATAATAATTATAATACTCCGAAGTGCTGATAGCGTTAATTAACATCGCCATTAGACATCCAATTATGTATGCGCTAAATTTTGACACGCTTAACTGAGTACATGTAGAGTACATGCATGTAACTGGGGTGAAGAATATTACGTCTAACAAGTCCTGTACATTTGCTGGTTTGGTCGACTTCTACCAAACTAAGTAGATCGACTAATTGGATACTTGCAAAAAAAAAAACAACGTTATTGTTAAATGGTGTATAAATAATGACTACAGTATCAGACAAGCTTCCATAGTGCGTGTCTCCAGATGTTTTTATTTACTTATGATACAGGGAAATCTATTACATGTATCAATAAACAGTTACCGTTCTTTGTATTCTTTCATCTACCACAAGCATTGATGTAATATTGGTGAATTTTGTAATATGTACATTGCATCAGGTATTTTTATATTCCTATGGGAAACTTCTATTATTTTCTTCTTTTTTTTAAATCTCTTTTTCATTTTTGTCAAATTACTGAATAGAAGAGCTTTGAAGACACCTTGCATAACTTAGAATCACACTCTTGACATATGTAAATGAACAAGAAAAACATGAAACATAAGCAAGTTTCTTCAGGATCTTCATTTTGCCACAGAGTATAAAAATAAATAACAGATACAAGCAATGTCAGTGACAAAATTAACATACATGTATATCCATTGTTATAAAATGTCAGCTCAAAAGCTAAATATAAAAATCTTGACCAATGCAAAAATACAAAATGTTGATACCCTAATTATGCTGAATGCCTTAATCTTAAGTACAAGGAAGTTACATAACAACAATGTAAAACAGTAATAACAAATAAACCATGATTACTCTTTATCATCCATGGCATCTAAATTTTGCATGACATAAAATAAATGTTCATTAATGATTGTATTCAATTCTTTTGAAATGTTCATGAGAGTTTTAAAATTCTCCTTGTCTGCTACCACCCCAGAAGGTGTTGCCATGACATCTGACAAATGTTTGTGCACCTGACTGATTTTCTGAAACAGTGAAACATCAAGAGGCATTGGCATGACTTTACAGAGCTCAGTAAAACTACAGAGCCAGTTATAGTAAGCCTGGCTGCTGAAATCCGGATGATTGACATAATCCATGGATGTAGTGTCTGATGCCTGATCTGAGACTGAGGCAATCGCTGCTGCAGACTCCTCATTTTGTTTAGGGAGCACTTGTTCCGTGGATTGCTCTGGCTCTCCTCTCTGTTCTGAATCCTGATAGTGGACCTCCACAACCTGCTGCTCCAGAGACTCTGGAGCCAGCTCCTCAATAATGTGAAGGTACTCCACAGGAACACAGTCATCGGACTGAATAGTCTGGATGTGACCATTGTCCAGAACCTCTGCAATGGTCACCACTGTTGGTTCAGTCATCTGGGAATTATCAAAAGTGGACACGGGTAGAGTTTGGACTCTCTGTTCCCTCCCCTGTGAAATCAGTCCCTGATTTTTTTCCAGTGCCTCAGTAATTACGGAGTCTACAGACATTTCCTCCTGTCTCTCTCCGTCGAGCACAGACGACGATTCTGTGGCAGAATAATCATGAGGAGGGGGGTTGATGGGGACATTCTGTATAGAAGAGTTCAGGTCCTGAATTAACTTAACAATCTTTTTCTGTTTTATCATGGTATGTTGATCCCCGGACATGGATGCTGCAATTTCTTGCTGGGTAATACACTGGTCAGCATTAGGGAATACAAACTGTAAAGCACCCGTACTGGTTCGAATCACTTGGACATCATCCTTCTGGTGCAGGTGTTTTCTACTTAGGTGAGCCTTTAATTGTCCAGCCCGTTTGAAAGACTCGTAACATAGTTGACACACATACGGTTTGGTTCCCACATGTTCTCGTTCATGGCGTCTCTTACTAGAGGGGTCACTGAATCTCGTGCCACACACCTCACATTCATACGGCTTTTCTCCTGTGAAGATAAGATTCATATATAAACATACTCCCTTTCATTTTTTTTAACAAATGTCTGACATTCTTGAATCTACATTTTTGAAGAGATATATTCCTCATTCTATGACTCAATGAAAATATATTCAAATGGATTAACATTATTTAGCATGCATTTCTCCGACCTATTTTAATAGTTGAGAAGATCTATCTATAATTTTCAGTAACTTTATATACTGATAAAAATACAATGACATAAAATTGAAATGAAAAATTCAGTCAGAAATTATGGTGATTTGCAATATTACAAAATTAATACAAAATATTAAGACCTCATTCCTTAAGAGGAAAAGGAAAATTAACTTAATAATTGAGATATTTCTTATAAAAAAGACACAAGTGTACAAGTACAATTTAAAGAAAAATAAAAAAAAAAAAAAAAAAACATGAATAGGAAAAAAAAAAGGTTTTCAGAGTTGTACTCTAGCAAACTTCACTTTTTTGCACAGTGATGTCATTGTTTCCATTTGAAAAATTTTGTCATTCATGAAGCCCATTTGCCAATATGCTTGTGTTACGATATTTGCATCAGAATGTAATAGATATTGAAACATACACATACATATGAAATTACTTCCGGAAAGTAATTTCCTTTCACATTTGAATAATATTTTTATATAATCTCAAACTGACCAAAAAAAGGAAAAATTAAAGCAATGTAATACCAGTATCAGTGATTTACATAATATCGGAGTGCTATTAAATACCATTAATGATTTACTGTAGTGCTTTTTTGTCTTCTGACATTATCTTACCTGAGTGAACAATTTTGTGTCTGTTGAGATCAGATTGATGAGCAAAGGCTTTATCACACTGCTTACATTTGAATGGTCTCTCTCCTAAACAAGCAAAAAATTATACATACATATATTCATATAAAGTGTACTATGGACTTAGAATGATAAATATAAAACTTTAAACATAAGTAATCAAAGATTACGAAGCTCACCTCGACGAATGTTATCAGTAAAAGTAATGCAAATCTCACATCAGATTTTCTTTATAGTTAGTGTGCATCCTGAAAACAATACTCATGCAAGTTCTGTGTAAGTAGGTCTTATAGTTCGTTGGGAATTGACCTGTTCCAAAAACTTTAACCTGTTCACTAATCAAGAAAATGTCTCATTTCCTACATCCGAAGCAAGTCTGGAATGCACCATCATTGCAAGTTAAATCATAACTGGCCATATAATTATAAAGCTACTCCAAACACATTGTCATGGTTACTCATTTGGAAAATGTAGGTCAGATCCAGCATTCGAAGCAAGTCTGGTAGAGTCCATCCCTAGATGCATCATCCATGCAAGATTGGTCCAGGTAGGGCTTAGAGTTACTTGGGAATGGACCTGCTCCAAAAACTTTAACCTGATCATTCATCTGGAAAATGTAGGTCAGATCCAGCATCCGAAGCAAGTCTGGGAGTGTCCATCCCTAGATGCATCATCCATGCAAGTTTGGTCCAGGTAGGGCTTAGAGTTACTTGGGAATAGATCTGCTCAAAAACTTTAACCTGGTCACTCATCTGGAAAATGTAGGTCAGATCCAGCATCCGAAGCAAGTCTGGTAGTGTCCATCCCTAGATGCATCATCCATGTAAGTTTGGTCCAGGTAGGGCTTAGAGTTACTTGGGAATGGATGTGCTCCAAAAACTTTAACCTGGTCACTCATCTGGAAAATGTAGGTCAGATCCAGCATCCGAAGCAAGTCTGGGAGTGTCCATCCCTAGATGCATCATCCATGCAAGTTTGGTCCAGGTAGGGCTTATAGTTACTTGGGAATAGACTTGCTCCTAAAACTTTAACCGGGACGCAGACGCAAGCGCCAGGGGTATAGCATAAGCTCATCTCGACTTTGTCGAGGTGAGCTAAAAAAAAAATACAATTACTTATACAATTACCACACCTTTCAACCTTAATTACCTTTTTTTAAACATTGACTATAGACACACTTAACATGTAAATGCCTTCCTGAATAAGATTTTTAAGCATTCAGTTTAAGATTGTATTACTTAGGAGAAAAGTTAATTACCTATTACTGATTATTTCTCTGAAGCCACTCAGGATTTTTGAATGTCTATAAATGATGTCCTTGAAAGGCCCCTTGATTTTCCCCAATTGAATGGGTGAATGTTCCCTATTGTTATTATCCCCCAATATAATGCAATACATAACTAAACTTGCTACTCAATGTTTCCGTGAAATGCAAAACAGAAATGAAGTTGATATGGAAACACCAGAAACCTGAAATATGATGAGTTTTAATGTAAAATGATTTTCCCAATATTCTCCAAAATGTCATTAATTTTCTAAATCTTAATGACCATTGTCCCTGTACCAAAACGTGGTTTGAGAGCACTGCCACTTACCTGTGTGCATTTTCATGTGTGACCTAAGGTACATATTCTGGGAGAACTTCCGCCCACATATCGTACAGGCAAACGGCGTCTCTGAGGAGTGGGTGATAAGATGCCGTCGTAGACAGCTGACCTGTCGGAAGTTCCGCAGACATATGTGACACTGGTGAGGTTTGCTGTCGGTGTGACGTGACATGTGTTCCTGGAGGCTAACATTACTGGAGAACTTGTTCTTACAAAAACTGCATTCAAATGGTTTAATACCTGTAGAAAAAAAACATGGTGCATTGAAAAAAAATTCCTCATAAAATATACAGTATTTGCCTTCCTTTTCTTCAGTGAGTAGGAATTTTCTTTTTGATATACAACTTTTACCAGTTTGTTTTAAAAATATTGTTGTATGTACTCAAATACGCATTTTTTTTTTAAATTAAAGAATATTGCAATTTCACAAAGCCTGTTCTCCACTATACAGAATCAGGAATTTTTGTTTGTAGGCAATGGAATCATAAAGTCTCTACTTTAAGGACATTGGCAAGTCAGGGTTTTCCGGAGAAAAAAGGTTTAATACATGGGTTTTTCACTTATGAAAAAGTGATTGAGAGTGATCTCCCGTGTAGAATTCTCTAAGCAGTGAAAACTAATAAAGCGTATGATACAGAGGTAAACAAAAAGCATGTGTACTTCCTTCAACGGGTAGAATCATCTATACAGCAAGAAAGAAAAGTAGTAATGGCTTTGTTGTGTGCATTGTATTCAGGGGACAAAGAGCCAACAGGTCGTCATTTACCATGAGTTATGCTCAGCTGGGAAGGGCTAAGCTGTGACATATGCTGAAAGGTAGACCGACAGAGATCAGTTCTTTGGTCGTGTGAAGGAAGTAGCATTTAGTAACTACGAATGAAAATTAAAATAAATCCATGCCAATATTTTTTTGACAATATGTTTCAATCAATTCAGTCAATTACATGATGGAAACAATCAGCTAGTCTGACTCTCTTGACCAGTATGAATAATATGTAATTATAATTGTTAAGGGAAGTAACTCAAAAATAAAGATCGGTGCTGGTATGTCCTTGTCTTGTTTCTATATATACATTTTCAGCCAAAATATCTAGAAGTCATAGGAAATGAAGATACAATAATGTATATAATACAAAAACTATTTGAAATAAGTGGGTTTTGGAGAAATATCATGGTGAAAAATTATGTAGGTCCCTTTAATCAACATTTTACATAGGAAATGCATTGAGAATTGCAAAAACACTGATTTGAGAAAATCTAAAAAAGAAGGTTGGCTTGGTATGTTAAACAATCCAGAATCAAGCCTGTTTTTTACAATTAAATCTATTCAAGAGTTCTTGAAAAATTCTATACAATAACCAGGAACCTTGCCAATGTCCTTAATGTTTGAAATTGGACACAAGTAATTAAATTTTCTATAGACAGGGCCATTTTATGCCTAAATAAACCTAGCTCTTTCAGTTTTTCCATCCTAAACAATTTATTTCAATACTCCATAACTTAAGAAAGTCCTTTGTACAAGCTTTATACAAACCCAGATGTGACATCTTGTGTCTCCTAAGTGCTTCATTACTCCTGAATGTCTTGCTGCAGTTCTCTACATTACAGTGAAAAGGCTTTTCTCCTAAATGTATCTTCATGTGAGTTTTCAAATTTCCTACAAGAATTATTAATGAAAGAAATTTACATTTTTTTCAAAATTAGAAATTTCATCAGACTGATCATCAACAAAGGGAAATAACTCTCTATGTGATGAACTGCTGTTTTATCTTCAACAATTATTTTTTTTTTAATCTCTCAAATATATTGTGCCATGTAGTATTTAAAATTTGCCTGATTTTTTTAAACCCTCTTATAACATGGAATTGTCATTATAACCTGGATTCCAGAGGATCACTCTCCCTTCACTTAAAATTCAACATATGTACAATGTCAATTCTCTTAAAAATCTCTGCCAAAACACATAGGATGACAAAAGATTTGTTGATACATGTAACTGGGTTAAAGAACAGGTTTTATTACATCAGTTAGTGTTTAAAAGTATGCTTTTACATGGAATATAAAAAAAACTGGTGAATCTTAATGATAACATTAATGATATACCTTTAGAAGAAAACTTCTTCATGCATACTCCACAAGAGTATACCACCACCAGGTTATTTTTCTTCCCACTCCGCCGTGGTTTCTTATTGAGGTAGACAATTCGTGGCTTTTGATTTGACTTGAGTTCACTCTCTGATTCCAATCCTCTCTCCTGAGTCACAGAGCTTCTTTCCTCCCCTTGGTTTTCCTGTTTAGATATGCTTTCTCCTTCACCACTCTCTCCCCCTACCCTCTCTGTGAGCTCAGTACTACTTGTCACTTCTTTGTGACCCTCAGTATCACTCTCTGGACTAGACTGAGCTAAGCCTTCCTCTGCTTTCCCTCCTTCTTCAGTCACACTAAGTTGCTGAGGTAGGTGTGTGTTTTGTTCTGTCTCCTGTGCACTGTTTATTACCTCTCCCCCATCTGCGAAGGTCAGTTCTTCCCCATCTGTCTGCAGAACAATATCTTCCCCCTCTGCCCCCTGCTGAATGATCACAATGCTGACCTCCCCATTCCCTGCCCCTAAGCTGTTTGCTTCATTAGCATCTGAATTAAATAATCAAGTAAAAATAGTCATTTATATTTAACAAAAACACTTCAATGTTAGTAAATGTAATACGATAAAAAAATTCTTTTCCCACATTTTATTTCTTTAAATTCCACCTGCTTAGTCTAATTTCCTAAAAAGTTTATAACTCAACTCTCTCAAGCATAAAACAGTATAAATTCCATAACCATCAATTTCTTACCTAATGAGATTACTTCTTGTGTCACTGGGGAGTCATATATAGGCAGTTTTCTAGGCCGTCCTGGAATATATGTGTCATCAGGTCATCAAAAGTCAAGGTCATTTCATATACATGTATGTGTGTAGCAGCAAAAATTAAATAATTATACCATGGTCTGAAAGTAAGAATTATGATATTCTAAAAAAGTGACAAAACATAATTTCTACTCACCTCTTTTCCTTGTGGAGGCAGTGGTTGTGCGCTTGACAAGGGATACATTCCTGAATTCCTCCTCGGGTGTAAACTTCTCCTCAGTTTCCTCTTCCTCATTTTCCTCATTCACTAGGTCTGGATTTCTGTAATCCCTGTTAAAATTAAAATTTCATTCAGATATTAGATAATTAGAGTCAACTCTAAGTGCTTCAAGAAAAACATGCTTGTGTCTAATTTCACTTCTTTCATGAACTTTTCAAAAAATTAAAGATATTACTTATATTTGCATTTTTTCATTATTAGCTTTAACAGTCAGCTACACATATACATTACCCGCATCGTTATTCTTTGCAATTCTATCATGTCATATCATGAGTGTATCCCATCATATCGTGCGTGTATCCTATCGTATCCTATCATATCGTGATTTCTGTTTGTCAGGTTTTGCGTTTTCTATCGTGTTTTCCGTTTATCAAGTTTTGCGTTTAACGTGAAGATCGTTTATCAGGTTCTATCGTGTATCGTGTTTTGCGTTTATCCTGTGCATTCGGAAACCCTCGCTTTTTATCTTTACTTTGAGAAGAAACACCTGAGATATCTCGAGTTCATTTTTCGTTTTGTTAATTTATTTAGGATTAATTTGACTGTTGAACAGACAGAGAAAATAATACTCTAACTTTGGTGTATATGTTTAAGAAAATAAATAAATAAATACAAATAAACAAATAAATAAGTAAAAATAAATGTTAAGTACCAAGTGACCAAGCAGAGACCATAAATCGAAAGTCAAATTCTATTTTTGGACATGAAATAATCGATCTACTAGTCATTTGTTATTTTTGTTTAATTTGTCGATTTGTAAGAAATATTTTATGTCAAAGATAGAAATATTATAATTCCTTTACACAGTCAGAGTCACAAAAGCAAGGTCTTTAACTTTGTTTTGATAATTATAGAAACATAAAACATTAGGTATGTGTGCAAAAATAAATTACAAATAAAAAAATATCAGCATCTTTATCAGGTCTATCCTATCTATCAATAACGGAAACATATATTTCGTCTATGCACGCAAGTTTTGTTGTTCCTCTTTATTTTTTTTTATTTATTTGTTTCTCTGATGTGTCTACAAGTTTCACGAGAATTTATTATTACATGAACATGCTCCATTCACTTCATTATATGATAATTATATATTATAATATAGATGTTTGCCATTCATATTTAACTACTGCATTTAGAAGATGTATAGAAAAAAAAAAAAATAAATAAATAAATAAACAAAACCACACTAATTTTTTATACACAACTTACCTATTTCGGCGTGGAAATAAAGTAGTTTATTACATTTTCAACAGTGAAATACTGAGATTTATTTATTGAATAAAAGTGATATTCTCTCACGGTGTGAAAGGATACCAAAGTGATATTCTCTCACACTGTGAAAGGATATCAAAGTAAGTAAAAAGTAATGTCTGGCCTGTCATAAGATATAGTAACTAAACCATCTTGATAGAGACTAAAACTGCCAATTTCTATAAGTTGCTAAAATCCATGTTACAATGTTTTCAATCTCACAACTGCTAAGCTATGATGTCTCAACCACTGAAATATGACGTCAAGCCTATGACACACGCACTGTGTTAAGAAAAGGTAGAGGCAAAGGGGAAATCAAAGAAAATGTAATAAACAGAAAATCCAATGTTTTGTAGTTGGATATGGAATATATTTCACCCCAGCTTTTCCACCTATATGACCGGCCCGTGTGTATTCAATGTCAACATATACATGAACTCCTCTCTCACCTGGTGTCAAGTATTTACCTTGAATCATACTAAGTTTCAATGAAATATATCTACTTATTTTCTGAATATTGTTCATAATTTGTATGAACAACACTTAATTAACAATTAAAGACTTTATACTAAGAAAATATGTAAATGTACACTTTCGTCACAGATTAAAAATAAAACATAGGTGAGATTTGTCCCCAAAACTTCATTGATCTAGTTCATTTGTATACTTTTATATAATTTTTATAGGTTTACAATCTTAAAAATGATTGTTGTGATCAAATAAAAAAAAACCAGAAGTCTCTGATGAGACTGTAGCTCTACTGGTCTGTACATATACATGTAACAAAGAAAAAGTAGCACTTGGATTTGAAACTTTCCAACATGCAGCAATAAATAGAATTATGTATCTTAATATAGTCTACTTGTGTGCCAAGTTAAATTGAAATCAGATCAAAACTGTAGGAGGAGTAGCGTTTTAAAAGAAATTCACAGAAATTTCTATTTTTAGTAACCATGGCAACATCGTTCATCCAAATCAAAAACTGATGCTCTGAATTATGTATCTTAGTGTAGTCTACTTGTGTGACAAGTTATATTGAAATCAGATCAAAACTGTAGGAGGAGTAGCGTTTTAAAGGAATTTCACAGAAATTTCTATTTTCAGTAACCATGGCAACACTGCTCATCGAAATTAAAAACCGATGCACTAAATTATGTATCTTAGTGTAGTCTACTTGTATGCCAAATCATATTGAAATCAGATCAAAATTGTGGAAGGAGTAGCATTTTAAATGAATTTCACAGAAATTTCTATTTTTAGTAACCATGGCAACATCGTTCATGGAAGTCAAAAACTGATGCACTAAATTATGTATCTTAGTGGAGTCTACTTATGTGCCAAGTTGTACTGAAATCAGACCAAAACTGTAGGAGGAGTAGCGTTTTAAAGGAATTTCACAGAAATTTCTATTTTTAGTAACCATGGCAACACTGCTCATCCAAATCAAAAATCGATGCACTAGATTATGTATCTTAGTGTAGTCTACTTGTGTGCCAAGTTATATTGAAATAGACCAAAACTGTAGGAGGAGTAGCATTTTGAAAAATTGTTTACAGACAGACGGACAGACAGACAGACGGACGGACGCCGGACACCTTACTATCGCATAAGCTCTTCTGGTCTCTGACCAGTAGAGCTAAAAACTGTGCTTGCTGTACTTCCGGATCTTCGGGTTTTCTGTGTAATACAAAAAGAAACAATTGTTCGAAAATTCTATTAATCAACGAAAATGATAAATAATTCTTAGAAGAAAAATGTGAATTTTGCCTCGCAAGATTTTTTTTTTTTTTGTTATTAAAGGCGTTTCAAAGATACATGAAAAAAAGAAAAGAAATCGCCGAGTTCTGCCATGATACACATTATGAGGAGTTAATACGTTGAATTTAATTTTATTAGTTTTTATCGATTGCATTTAAGACTTGACTATATTCAAGAAGTCAACATATATTTTTATTTACTTATTTTTTGCTTTTTGAATCGGATCTCTCTTTTTTTTGAGTGGTTATGGACCCCCCCCCCCCCTTCCCCGCTGACTGTGCCTCAAGTGGTATTAAGACTTTCATAATTTACAAAGTTTTGTCTAATTCTGCTGATGTAGTCTAATAGCAATAATCTACAATTATTCAGCCCGAAAATCCACTTGTCATATTGTGGAAATTAATTTATTATTTATTTTTGTGTGTGTTCTATTATGTTGTAAACAAGAGTATGTAATCATTCAATGTTATTTATCTAATACAAAGTTTAAGTACCCAATAAATATATTCACATACATTGTAAGCTTAGCATACACGTGTCTATAATAGATACAAATTCTGTTATTGTAAATGTTTATAAGACAGGCACGCGTAGAAAGCAATATCATTTCTTTGTGGGCGGGGGGAGGGGGGTCTAAAAAGAATCGTTTTGAAAAGCAAACAAAAGAGGCTAAAGACATTGTTATTGTTGATGGGCAATATTATATAAGCATTATATTTCTACTGTATACTACACATGTTGGTAACATTTTTAGGTATACGACTGCATGCTCCCTTCTTAATATTACAGGCCTATAACATTAGAAACACCAGAATAAATACAAAAGAATGAAAATGCTATATTTTTCGGATACTAGAGGATGACAGATCTAGTGACGTGTATCAATTTTGTTAAATTTGATTTCTTTCGGCCGGTCTTCTTATGTAAGTACTTGGAATATGTAAATGATTTCTATGGGAGAGGTTATTGAATCACAGTCCTGTGCTCAGTCTGGGTCAAATGCAACTAGCAATTTCAGCAAGTTTAAAACGTAATAAAAATTAAATTAATTTATATAAAATATAAATTAAAGCAATTTCATAAAAACTTTGTGGAGAAATTCTGAGAATAAATTTTCAATTTTTCCCCCTGAAGTATGACTAGTAATTTTTTTTCGAAAGATTTGGATTATTAAGATTATTAAGAGCGATTTTGGATACACCGCAGACTTCTAGCAAAAGATATTGAATCCAAATATTTCATTTTTTTTTTACATGTTCTTCCGTAAAAAAAATCAATGTTTGTTATAAATTTCATAAGGTTTTTATTTGTTAAAATAATGAATATATTTATAGCGTTTCGTGAATAAAATGCACATGGGTGTGAAACTTCGCTTGTCTGCGGAATTTTTGAGCCACCAACAAATTAAAATCTAATCAAATTAAACGACTCAATATTCAAATTTAACGATCGGAATTTCGACATTTGTATAATTATACAAACAATCACCTAATTTCCATCATAGAGTGGAATTAATTTTGAATTATTACAGTTTGAATTTGATGACGATCACTTTTATTGACAAAAAACCGTATCTTTTACAAAGCATCATTACTTCAAATGTTTTATCATGATATATTAAATTTTTTTATTATTTAGATTCGCGGATTTGTAAGTAATTGAAATTATCATACTACAGTATGGAAACTTTTCGTCTTGTCAAAAAACGTTTCGCATTTTGAAACAAACCTATCAGGTTTTGCGTTTATCCTATCGTGAAGATCGTTTATCAGGTCTATCGTGTTTTGCATTTATCGTATTTTGCGTTCATCGTGTTTTGCGTTTATCGTGTTTTGCGTGTATCCTATCGTATCGTGCGTGTATCCTATCGTATCCTGTAAAGAATAATGATGCGGGTACTGTAATACTTATTGTGACATCTTTAGTGTTTGTCTGTATAGAAGGAGGGTTATTCAGGTTATTTTTGTGTGAAACTGAAGGAAAAGTTTTAATCAGAATCCTTTTCTTCATTGATAATTAAAGAGCATATGAACTTGCAAATTATTTTAAAATCTTTAAGGAAATCATTGCTAATGTAAATATTTCAAATTGCATTTAAATTTGTTCATGTCATTGATAAGTGCACAATAGATAGGGCAAAACTTGCATAAGGTGCTACAGAATGTGCTTCAATCACTAAAGTAAGAGCACATACAGTAATTTACAAATTTGTTGTAGAAATAAAATTTGCATGTTTAGAAGAGTACCTAAATTTGAATGGAACACTCCTTTTCCTGGAGGGGATTCTCCCTGACCTTCTCTCCTGATAGCCCTCCGCGTGGGAGGGTTTCTTTTCCTCAGGTTGTACAGATACCACCACATGGACCGACTTAACTTCAGATGTTTCCTCCCCAGAGCTGGTAGTGGGAATGACTTGATCATTCTGTACTGTCCACACTCCTAGAGGTACCTCACTCACAACAATTTGATTACCTGGTGACTCTAAATTATAAATAAATAGTGATGTTTATTATTTTTAAAAGTATTTCTGATATTCACAAAAATCTTTGTTGTAATCGGAGTTTGCTACAATTTACCCAAAGAAGTCGTTTTCCTTCCAATTTCATTTACATATTATGTAACTCAAAGCACTGAGGAAAGTAGAGCAATGCAATCACGGACCTTGATCAGTAAAATAAGTTTTGCATATATATATTTGTTAAATGTTGATCTCAGAATTTCTTGCAGCTTTTCACACTCAATAATAATTAATATGTTTTATTGGAGTAGAATGCCTCAGTCTCATGGAACATAGAACTGATATTATCCCGATTGCTGAACAAATACGCTTATTCTATATATTCCAAATATGCCTATTCCATTTACCAAATAGGACGTGGAGTGCCTTTGATATGGAAGCAGGGGCTGATTCATGCAAGCTTTGACATCATGGCTTAGTGCACTGAGAAATCTACATAGTTACTGGTTATATTAATATATACTCTTCCCTTCTAAAAATTTATAAAATCGACATAGCCCTTCAAATGGCTTCATTCGGTTCATTGTTAATCATACAGACTTCTCAAATGAGTCACATGTCTTGCAATAGCCTACTCGTCGCTATACTAGTTCTAGACAGTGTTTGACATATCCAGAACAATCATAACCTTTCTTTCAGACTCTTTTCAGTTCGTCTGTCATTCTTTTTAGATACCCCCTTAGATCAATAACAAAAATTTTCGCCGTACGAAGCGTGGGCCTCCCATACACTTGACAAATCGTCAGAGTTAAGCCTTTGGCAATTTTTACATTCTGTAGCTGTAATAATATATTAAATACTTAGTCTCACCAAAACTCCATATATTATTGATTAAAAACTGAAACAAATCTATCGTTTTGATCTAAATAGTATTCACCTTGCGAATCGGAAATGTCACAAGCGGCAGCCATTTTGACAGAAGGAGCCCTGCGTAATCCCCGGATTGTGAAAATCTAAATATCACAATGGCGCGAATATTCAAATAGCTTATTTATCATAGATAATATTGTTCCTATCATGATCGATTTATTATATTTAAAATGACCACGATGGAACTTTAACAGGAAAAAACCCTTTATTATGTTAATTTGCATATATATGGATATCAGGAAAAATCTTTACTACTTCAGCATAAGAAATCTATAGATGTTAAACATCCGCGGATTCAGGCAGGGGCGCTCACGAAGAGCGCTCCCTCTATCCCTCCTCCCCCCAAAAAAAACATCCATTGAACAGTTAAAAAGATCTGTTTAAACAAGTATCTATTTTCAGTTGTATGCTTCGTAGTTCGTAGTTCAATCACCAGGCAAAACAAGTTTCTGTGACCTAGCAGCTGAGGTAAACACAATATTTTCATACTCGATCATAGAAAAGTCGACGGATATATCTTTGTCTTGGTTATTTTATGAATGTTTACATTTAAAATAATTGGAAATGGTGAGTTTCACATGTTCAAAGCGTATTTGAAAGAAAGATATAATCCCTGGATTTCATGCCTAAAGGACAAGACTGAATTTTTTCTGCTCTAAGATATTACATTCTATTGTAGTACACATGAGGTATCTTGGAATTATAATTTTCTGAATAATACTATCATAACTGAATGTAATATTTTGCACTTATCTAAAAAAAAATCTATAATGGGTATGGTTACAATTAAGAATGTAGATAGGATAAAATAAAAGATGTACGTGCATTTGCAAACCTAAACAAACATATTCAATTCTAATTCTTTGCCTTTCATATATATTTTATCCATATTTGGAACTTTATTTTTTCTAAATTAAGGTATTTGTAACAAATTACAGCTATTTGCAACAAATTGTAACATTAGATTCAATCTTTACCCAAATCCGTTCCTAGTTTAGTAAAAGAGTGTAAGACATGGTAACCATAGTTCACTAATGATTACCATTGGGTCCCACCGGTAACCAATTGTTACTGTTTGTATGTTACAAAATTACCAATGGTAGAACCTGGAGAGCACCTAATATGTATAGGAAAAAAGAACACACTCATACATCTAATTATAACTATTTTCTCTAGTAGAACGGTTGAAAGACATGGCCCGACAAAAAATAAAAATGGCGATGCATTCCGGTCAGACTTTTTTAAAAAAAAAAAAAAAAAAATGAGACGATACTCTTTTCCATACATTTTTATTTTTAATGGTTGTAAGTCCATCCACTAATGCTGTACGTGAATATAAATGTATTTAATTTGTGGATATTTCGTTTTATATCATTAATGGATGTGGATCTTGACCATTAATAATATCAATCTGGAATTTATCATGAGTGAATGAAAGAATGATTCATAAGTAAACCATCGTTTCATGTCAGGAAGTCCTTTGTCCCCAAGAGATACCTTCATAAAGAGTGGATATCAAAAGAAACACTTGACATGATACAAGAGAGGAAAGAAAAGAAAGCATCTGTGAATCCCAGCAGAACGATAGGTTTTGAGAATGTGAAAGCTTTTATAATAAGAGGGCTAAAAAACTAGACAGAAGGAAGTATAGATGTAGTGGCATAGAAAGCACAAATAGCGCAAAACATGAAGGAAACATATGACATCATAAAGGACCTGTCTGGTAGGTACAATAGACCACAAGACAGGAAAGCAAATTTTAGGGGATATTTCGCAAAGGAAAAGATGGATGGAACATTTTGAAGAATTTTTGAATGAATTAATGCCAATGAAAAAGGTGAAGATAACGAACAGTGATCGATCCAAAAAAAAAATCTACAAACAATACAAAACTGTAAACAGGGCATAAAACATGGACCCCCGGAAATTCCATGGGTGCCAAGGAGGAGTAAGCATCCCCTGTCGTCTGGTCAAACCTGCAGCGCTATGTTTTGAACAGGTAGACGGAATATTCCGAAGTCGAATTTAGTATAAAAACAAAGGCCTAACAATTGGTATGAAATACGTCACCCAAAATACGACCCAATGATAGGTTATATTTGCTAACATGGTCATTATAATCTGACTTTAAATGAGATTGTTGAAATCCCTGTAACATCAACTTATCTGTCAGTAGCCTCACTCGGTTTAAAATTTGATTGTACTTGGAGAATGTTCTTAAATATCGAATAAGTTGGTGATCGCAGAATGTTACTTACATAAATAAGGAAAGTTGACGATGGAAAAGCTGCATTCATCTCGTTTGTATACGATGTAGTTGTTAGTTGCCCTTATTGTCTACAGTCAGTAAACATCCAGATGTGAAACAGATGTGGCAGACCCTGTGGTACGTGTCTTCTATATCGAGTCGACATATGAATGGAAATTACAATTGTTAAGTGATGAAACGCCGTCAATATATCTAAATGTCGAGTTGAAGGCCACAGCAATTGTTTTCTTCTTCTCAGTTTTTGAATAAAATCTGCTTCATAGGAATGTAAAAAAGGTCGGCTAATAAAGGAGCAGCGCAATTAGTAGTGTACCCATCGAATTTAAAATAGTTTGTTGGAAGATCTGGTCTACGAAGACTACATATTAGTTCTCGACGAGGAACTACAGCATCCTTTTAATGTCAACTTCAGAGTACTTGTGTGTAGAAGCAGAGTGTTTTTAATAAAGTAATTTTGTTGTTCACCAATCACAAGACATGAAAATTTCCTAGTTCCATTATCATATCAAAGAAGCAGTTGCCTACGACATCAATTTTTTTTTTTTTTCATTTATCATAAGGAATGGTTGTATAAAGTGTAGAAAAGTAGTACGTTCTGATGTTCCTGACATTTGAAAAATTTAGTGATTAAAAATTTTTAAAAAGTTCTTTGGAGTTTTTGAGAATCCACATCTGATTTACATTACTTCTAGAATATGCCGTAGAACAGTACGTCTGAAGCATACTATAATTCACCTAACTCACTGCCAGCTATATAGAACACACATGGATATAAATGTAACCTGCAGTAAATCAACCAGAGGATGTAAAAACAGCTTTAAAACATCTAAAGAATGGCAAGTCAACTGGAACTGACAGTATTCCTGGGGTACTCAAGACAGACATAGAAACGACAGTAGATTTGATTTACTCTCTATTTAAATGAACAAATGGGCCTTTGCCCCAAAAGGGGTAGCAGGCATAATTTTATGTAAGTAATTAGGGATGAAAGAGTAGTACGTTAATAAGATGACGAACAATGATTATTCTCAAAAGTCCATTTAAGCAATACAAGTTATAGCAGAGCCAACACGGATCAGGTACCATGGAGGAGTAAGCATCCCCTGTCGACCGCTCACACCCTCCGTTTGCTCCTTGTCATGATTGGGTAAACGGAAAAATCGGCGTAGACAATTCAGTGTGAAAATAATGGCCTAATATTGTGTATGAAAGACGTCAGTCAAATTCCACATATTGAAAGATTGTATTTGCAAACAAGGTCATTATATCGACCATAACATCTGCAAAATGTTGACTTTAAACGAGATTGTTGATCCTTGTTTCATAAACTTATTTACCACTAGCCAGTCTAGTTGTTATATTACTACACAAATAAGGGAAGATGAGGATAGAAAACTTGAACTCATAACGTTTATCATAAAGTTTAGTTGTTAGTTTGCCATCAATGTCTTTTTCTAGTAAAACATCCAAATATGAAACAGATGTGCCAGACTCTGTGGTGTCCTTTATTTCGAGTGCAAGGGGATATATCGAATCAACGTAGGAATGAAACTGAATATAGTTAACTGATAAAACGTCGTCGATTTATCTAAATGGCAAATTTTAGTCAACAGCAAGATATCTTCTTTATAAACACCCGTAATCGAAGATTCGGGGGTATATAGTTTTTGCCCTGTCTGTCCGTCTAGCTGTTTGTCCGCAAAAACGTTAACCTTGCCCACAACTTTTGATTGGTGAGCTATGGCTTTCATATTTCACAAGTGTATTCCTTGTGACAAGACCTTTCTTTGGGTACCAACATATTTTACCTTTAGACCTTGACCTTGGAGTTTGACCCACTTTTGCCAAAAACTTCCAAACTCTAACATTGACCATAATTAACTTTTGAACAGATGGTACCTGGGCTTTCATACTTCACCTGTGTATTCATTGTGACAAGACCTTTCCACTGGTGTGAATATTTTTTACCTTTTGACCTTTACATTAGAGTTTGACTCACTTTTTAAAAACTTAAATCTTGGCCTTAACGTTTGAACAGTTAGTACCAGGGCTTTTGTATTTCACAGGTGTATTTCTTGTGACAAAACTTTCCTTTGGATACCAATAATTCTGACCTTTTGACCTTGCCCGTAGAATTTGACTTAATTTGAAAAAAGAAATTTAACCTTTGCCTTAACTTTTGAACAGTTGGAGCTAGGACTTTTATATCTCACTGTGTATTCCATATGACAAGGCCTTCCCCTGGGTACATTAATTTTGACCCTTTGACCTTGACATAGCAGTCTGACCCACTTAAAAAAAATTAACCTCGGGCAAAATTCCCTAATGGCTGGTGCTTGGGCTTTCATATTTCACAAGTATATTTATTAACACAGGCCCTTACTTTGCGTAAGAACATGTTTGACCTTTTGACCTTGGAATTTGACTTGCGTTTGAGAAGCTTTAACCTTAGCCATAAGCTGCTATACAAGGGCAACAGTGTTTCACAAACACATCTTGTTATGTAGGAGTTTTTTTTTAATAAATTCTGCTTCATATGAAGACAAAAACAGGTCTGTTAATAACGGGACATAATTATTAGATATGGAAATTCCAAAATGTTTTTTTAACAAAATAAGTTTGCAGATGGCTATTGTCAAGGTATACAATTCACGAGTTCCATTTTTATTGAAGAAGCAGTTGTCTATGATGCCAAAAATATCAACTTTATATTAATAGTGGATATTGTACTACACAACTATATATAATTATTTTTTCTTCCCTCACTGATCCCGAAACAACTGTTA